ACTGGTGAGCGCCCACCCCGGGGCGGGGACGGGGGCGGGGCGGGCAGCCTCGGGTCGACCTCCCTGCCGACTCTCTCTGCCAGGCTCATGGAGCACGAAGACGACCCCGATGTGGACGAGCCGCTGCCGACCCCCCTCGGACATGTCCTGGGACGGGAACCCACCTCCTCGGAGCAGGGTGGCCCCGAAGGTCCTGACCGAAGGGCGCGGTGTGGCTGTGGAGGGGCCCGAGGAGATGACGGGGGTGACACCGATGGCTTGTTTGCAGGGCCTGGGTCCCCCGCGGAAGAAGGGAAACTCGTTCTGAGCGAAGAGGAAAGGCAGGAGCAGACGAAGAGGCACGTAGGCGGCACGGCCCTGCGCGGTGGAGGGTCACCCTGTGCCTCTCTCTCCCGGGCACAGTCTGATCAGTGTCTCCAACTGGCCACATCCCCTGCCCTCTCGGCATTTCCCTTTTGTGCTGGGACACATGTCCCCTGGCTTGTGTTTTCCGAGTCCCTTGTTATAAGCCCACCTTTCCACTCCACGGTCATCTCCCTTGAGCTCTCCTGTTTGCAATACAGGATGCTGGAGCTGGTGGCCCAGAAACAGCGGGAGCGCGAGGAGAGAGAGGAGCGGGAGGCGCTGGAACGGGAGCGGCAGCGCCGGAGACAAGGGCAAGAGTTGTCCGCGGCCAGGCAGCGGCTGCAGGAAGACGAGATGCGCCGGGCGGCGGAGGAGCGCAGGAAGGAGAAGGCCGAGGAGTTAGCAGCCAGGTGGGGATGCTGGGTCAGAGCTGAGGAAGGAATCAATATTTGCTTTGTCAGGGCCTGACCTGCTTTCTTCCTGTCTGCGTTCCAGGCAGAGAGTCCGAGAAAAGATTGAAAGAGACAAAGCAGAGAGAGCCAAGAAGGTAGGCGGTTGGGAAGACGCAGGAATTAAGTGGATGAGGCCAGTGAGCCCCATTTTCTGCTTCGGAGGGCAAGGCGGGAAGCAGTGTTTCTCCTGCGGGCGGGTGCCTGATGGCGTCTTGCTTTGTCCTGCAGTATGGAGGCAGTGTGAGTTCTCAGCCGTCTGCACCCGCCGAGCCAGGTTCTGTTCCCTCCTCTCCCAGCCAGGAGCCTCCCAGCAAGCGGGAATATGACCAGTGCCGCATCCAGGTACTGATTCTTTCTTCTTGCTCCGGGACCCCTGTGTTGGCCTGTCAAGCCCCTAGCCCAAAGCTTTGTTTGTTTGTTAAGCCTCACCCAGGATTTTTCCATTGGTTTTTAGAGAGAGTGGAGGGGAAGACACACAGAGAGAGAAACATCAATGGGAGAGAGAGACATCAATTGGTTGCCTCTTGCAGGAGCCCCGACCAGGGCCAGGGATCGAGCCTGCAACCGAGGTACGTGCCCTTGGCCAGAATCGAACCCGGGCCCCCTCAGTCCGAGGGTCGGAGCTCTGTCCATTGAGCCAAATAAGCTAGGGCCCAGAGCTTTTTTCAGTTATGTTTCCTTTGCCAAACTTCTCCCTTCTTTGTAAATGACTTTTGAAATCCTACCTTCTCTAGTCTTAGGAATAGTATCAAATTTCACTTGCCCAGTCTTATTTAAATCCATACCTCCCTCTTACTCAGCAGTTACCTCTTTACTTGTTCATGCTTCCATTGGCTGTATTACACAGCTGTTTGCAAAGCTAACATTTATTCATTTATGATGGTATTTTTCCAGGTAGTTTTGTGGACTCTTAAGTTGTGAGGGAGCAAGGAGTCTGTCTCTCTCTTCGTTATTTAGTCAAGCAGAACCGAAGTGATTGTTCATTAGGTGCTTTCAGTAGTAATGATGCTGGTTCGATCTGAGAGGAAGGAGGAGCCAGCTTTGCTCTTCTTTTCTTTGCTGGGTCCCTCCCTCAGTTTTGACACTCGCGTGTTGCGGCTTTCACCTGCCCTCCAGGTCCGGCTGCCAGATGGGACCTCGCTGACCCAGACGTTCCGGGCCCGGGAACAGCTGGCAGCTGTCCGGCTCTATGTGGAGCTCCACCGTGGGGAGGAGCCGGGCGGGGACCAGGACCCTGTGCAGCTGCTCAGTGGCTTCCCCCGACGGGCCTTCTCGGAGGCTGACATGGAGCGGCCTCTGCAGGAGCTGGGTATGACGTGTGGGAGCTGAAGCAGGACGTGGGTGTGATAGGGACATGCCTGAGAGGGAAGGGCTGCAAAGAAGGGACTTGGTGGAGAAGGTGTGAGGCCAGGAATTTGGGAGACAGAAGGTAGGTATGTGTGGCTTAAATTTGCTTTCTTCCTTCATCTTCAGGACTTGTGCCTTCTGCTGTCCTCATTGTGGCCAAGAAATGTCCCAGCTGAGAGGCCTTATCCCACCTCCTGTCTGACCTCTTCAACTTTGATAAAGCACTGACATCTCTTTCCTAATAAATAGCCCTGAGTTCTCTTATGTGCCCGACTCCTTCCTGAGTGACCGGGAGGGACTAAACGGAGACAGAGGAAGACTAAAGGGAATGAATGCTTTCAGAACAGATGCCATTCATCTCACATTTCCAACAGAGACTTGTTTCTGATCTCGGTCTGATTAGTTGCTGGGGAAGTTGAGGGGGGAGACATGCTTGGGGGTGGAGAGTGCAGTGGATATAGCACCTTTTGCTCCTATGGGTAAGGTGGTGCGTAAGCTTGGATTCCTTATTGGCTATGTGCCTTGATTTTTAAGCCTAGTTTACTTCTTTAGTGAAATAGGGATGATAGTACATGTCAGTTGGAGTTTTTGGGGTTACATGTCAATAAAAGGTGCTTTAGCACAGTATCTGGCACCAAATAAGTCCCCAGTAATTACTAACTATTAAAAGGGCAATGTTTTATGTGGCCATTCCTAAACATTGAGGAACACTGACCTTAAAAGCATTTTACAAGTATTAACTGAGATACGAAGGTACTATTACCACCTAGGAGTAGGTACAGTTACCCATTTTAGAGACTCGGACACTAAAGCTGGTGACTTGCCCAGCCTGACACAGGCAACTGGTTACGGATCCTGGACACGTGCCCGGGGTGCCCAACTCTAGGTGCCAAGCACCTTTATGGGTACCTGCCTCACAGCCACTGATCACCTGACCCTAGTGTTCCCTAACAGCTGCTGCCTTCCCCTCAATCCCAGGCTGGGAAAGGGCCACGATTAACCTAAAGGTCATAGGTGACATGTATTCAGCTTATGACTTCACCACCCAGCAGTTGAAAACAGCACCAATGCTCATATCTGGGTTTATACCTCCACGTATTAGTGTTCTGGCTAAACTTATGTGTAATGAAAGCAGCCTTTTTTCTCGTGGACAAAAGGGGAGCCAAGCAATGGACTTGGTGGTGGGGCTGCAACCTCACTGACAGCTGTGTCTCATCCCTTCAGCGGCGCTTCCAGTGGATCCTACGACTGGACTCAGACTGGAAACTACAGTGAAGCCTTGAGGGGAAACCCCACTATTTACTAGAGGCTGCTCTGCCAGGCCCTACACTTTACTCTTCTACATTATTCTTATGACAGCCCTCAAGATGATTAGCACCTTTACAGAGCAGTACTGAGGCTCAGAGGAAACGTGTAACGTGCTGGAGTTGAATCAAACCTCTGACTCAAAACACGCTTTCACTGCTCCCAGCAAACGGGCTCCCAAGGCCAATGGCCACCGAAGCCTCCCGGCCCGTGTTCAGTGCTAAGAGCTCAGCTCCAGCCTCACGACAGGAACCCTAAGTGTCCCCTGGCAGCTACTGCTGCACGGTTTTCCGGGGCAGTTCGACTTCAAGAATGCCGCCTGGTTACCCCCAAAAGAACACTCACACACATGAGCGGGCTCGTGCTTTCAAAGCGTGATCGCTGTGCCTATTGGGCTTCGGCCACACATGGGAAGCGGGGCACTGGGTGCTGCGGCCATCCCAGCCCATAGAACCGACCCCCACAACGGAGACATTTACAGGCGTCAGGCCTCAGGGCTCACTTTCCGGATGGAGGAACTGATTTACTGGTTCCTTCAGTTCCCCACATCGACGGCGCCGGCCCGCGAGGACATGAACGCGCAGCCAGTGCAGGGTTTGGGGGGGAAGTGCTCACCCGGCGGCAGCTCCCCGAGCCCGGGCTCCCCGCCAGGTCCCTGCAAGGCCGCCTCCTACTCCTGTGCCGGAGCGGAGCTCCCAGCGCCCACGGGTGCAGGTCCCGGCTCACGCTGACTTCCCGCCGCCGCCGCTCAGCCAGTTCTTCCTCCAGGTCACGTTCTCCTGCGTGGCAGCTGCCTCCTGCAGAGCGGCCATCAGTAACTGCTTGGTCCTGGCCGCCTCTTCCCGGCTCCGTAAGTCCTGCCCCGGCATCTCCTGCGGGAGAGAGGTTCGCAGTTCCGGCCCCAAGCGCGGGGGTGACTCCGCCTGCCCGCCCACCCCACCTCGGATTTCCCATGGCTCCCACCTTCAGCATCGCCTGAACCCGCTCCTCTCCGGGGGTCACGAGGACAAAGAGCGCGGAGCCCACGCCAGCCCACGCCCCCAGCACCGCGACTGAGATGAGCGCTTTGCGCAAGAAGCCCATCGCCCACCGCACGGGCAGCGCCTGCGCGGTCTCCCGCAGCCTAGAGAGGCCAGCACCGCGTCTCACCGGCTCCTGCGCGGGCTAGAGCGCCCTACAGCGGACACCATAGACAAGGGCCGGCTAGAGAGGACCCGATCGCGAAAGGTGTCGGATCTGGGGCGCCCGAGTCTAAAGCTTGGATGTAGCCGGGAAGGCTGAGCGTGTCCGGAAGGCGCTGACCCGCAGGCGGAGCGCGGGAGCTGTTGTCGCGAAGTTGGGAGTGAGATGAACTTACTAAAGGTTGCTCCGTGTTTGCGTCCTGATGGAGATGGAACCCGCCACCTGGGCTATCGGAGGACGCCCGAACCCACCGAGCCACCGGCCACAGTGCGTCTCCATGGTTGCCGCTGCTTTTACAACTAACAGCCCAGTTCCTGAGTTTCCTGATCAAGAGAAGGCCAGAGCAGGAGAGAGGCTCTAGGCTTTAAAGGTTTTTAAAGCACACTTGTTAAATTTTTCATCATGCTATATACTCTTGGGACATATTTATTAAATCATGAAAACTCAAGAGAAGGCTAGGCCCCTGCTCTGTGGTTGCCGCAGTAACTTGTGCTATGTCAGGACGCCCAGTGGACACCCAGATACGTGGACACACAGTCTATGGACCCCCTTCAGTCCCGTCAACTTCTGAACAGAAACGCAGAGCCAAGCGCACTGCATTCGGAAGAGTGTGTTTATATAGTTCTTCTTTATCTACGTGTTAGTAAACTTGTTACAAGTGAACTTGTTAAGCCGGGTAGCTCAGTTGGTTAGAGCATCGTCCTGATACACCAAGGTTGTGGGTTCAGCAGTCAGGGCACCTACAAGAATCAGACATTGAATGCATCAATAAGTGGAACAACAAATTGATCTCTCTTCTCTCTCTCAAAATCAATAACGAAAAGCTAAGAAAAAATGTTTTTAAAGCACATTTGTTAAATTTTTCATCATGCTATATACTCTTGGGACATTTATTAAATCGTGAAAACTAGATTTCGCGTAGCATACCCAAATTCCAGTTTGGAGAAGAAAACACCTCTTAGTTGTGTCTGGACAAAATCATTTAAGTTCTTTGTGCCCTAGTGTCTGTATCAGAAAAGGGGCTAATAACTATCTATGCCATAGTTTTAGGAGAATTAAATCCGTTTACACATAAAGGGTTTATAACAGTTCCTGGAAAATAAGTCAACACCACATGAATATCCACTTAAAAGATACAAGGAAATATGTCAACTTGGGCAACCCAGTTGGCAAAGGAATCAGAAAGTTCCAAGTTCATCAAGGTTCTTCACTCCAGATTCCCTTGTTGCTATCCCTCCTGCCTTTCCCAGCGTCACCAGGGAAAGGGAGTGAGTGGAAATAAAGCTCTTATCCCAGTGATGTCTTCCTCCCCTGGAAGGCCCATCCTGCTCTCCTCAGAAGTGATTAAGGAGCCAGGCTCCAAAGAAGATCAAGGAGCAGCCTGTGGGGTGTACTGGGCAGGGGTTCAGAACTCTACTGAGCTCAACCACCCTGCACTCTAAAAATCAGCAGCCATGGACTGTGCCAGGGAGCAGCGAGGATGGGCCTTGGCCTAGAGATAGCCCAGGCTCCTTCCAGCATCCAGAAAATCCGCGGCTGACCAACCCTCTCTGGAAAGACAGAGACGAAACTGACAGAGTTGAAGGTCATCAGGATGTTCAGGTTAGTACTTCTCCACCCTGTGTCCTGCTGCTGGCTCATCCTCCAGATGAGCCCAAGACCCCTGCTGTCCCCATGCAGGTTGTCTTTCAAAAGATCCATCTGCCCTCCATTGTGGTAGAAGCTGCTGAGGTAAGTGGAGAGCTGGGAGCTCCGGTGGCCACATGAGGAGCTGCTGTTGCTCACGGATGATGAGGAAGGGACCCTGGTCTTCTTCCAGGAGCGAAGTGAAGAGCCAGGTGAGGGAGGTGGCAGGTGCAATGGAGCCCTTGTGACCTGGCGTTCTGGACAGGACTAGTTTTGTCCCTTGCATTCAGCAGTGCCAGGCACACAGATGTTCAGTAAACGTAGTGAAGAAAAATGTTGACGTGGGAGGAAAAGGTCAAGGTGGTTGCTGTAGCTGATGGACTTTAGAGAGCAGTTCTGATGTCAGCTGGGTCGTGCCTTTTAATGTTTTTTTAAAAAAATATATTTTATTGATTTTTTACAGAGAGGAAGGGAGATAGTTAGAAACATCGATGAGAGAGAAACATCGATCAGCTGCCTCCTGCACACCTCCTACTGGGGATGTGCCCACAACCAAGGTACATG